GAAGATCAACGAATTCCGAGACGAAATAACAAAGTCTCGAAAAAAGTCGATAATCCTGCTGGTGCGATGGAGCCGGTATCGTTTCGTTTCGAGAGCCCTGATCCCGCGCGTTCGCGTCCGCGACCGCGGAAGCTAAGAGAATTCTCGAAGGATCGATCTCGAGCCGTGTATCGAACGTCGTGCACCGTTCGAATCGACCTCGAATCGAGTCCTCCGAGCCCTACCGGTGGCCGAATGTCGTTCGAATTCGCGGCCTACCCGTAAAGAGACGACAGCCGGCCCCGGCCCTACCTAACCATTCGCACACTCCGTTAAGGCAAGTTACCTATCCTGCCTGATGCTATATTTAAAAAATGGCAAAACGATCGCACCAACACATTCATTCCACGATTGTCACTCATACGTTGAGGTGCTGTACCCTGCGGAGATCGTCCCGGGACGCCTCTGACACCCCAACATGACCCATTCGTTCCATTCTAAGGCACATGTTAGTTCCTGAAATCGACCGACAATGGTAGCGATCATTGCGATTTCATCGAATTCTAATCGAAAGTTACTTTCTCGGACGAGATTCTGATTGAATAGTAATGCTGGTCGTTCTAGAATAAATACCATTTCGGTAGAGTTGCATTTTTCAAGACTCTTCCGAGCTTTTATTAAATCGTTTCAACCGACAAGAATAGAAAATGAACATTCCGTGCATACATATTCCATAAAGATCCACGTTGCAGGACATAGATCGTACGGAATATGTCCGATTCGAGCTAGTTTCGATTTCAAACAACCGACGCAAAATCCACTACCTAACCACGCACACGCACACAAGTAGAAATTACGTCGTACACGATGCACCAGTCATTGTCAATCGCCATTAGTATTAAATACCGTTCCATGCGCCGTTGCTCGCACCCTCCGAGTAACGCTTGGGCTCTCGAAAGGATTCGAGCAACGAACACGGAACCTCGGATCTCTGAAAATCCTATCTAAAAAGAGTCGTTGGTCTCTCGAGCTAAGATTCGTCGATTTTCGAAAAATGACTCTACCAGTTCGAAAAGATTTTCTTCGATTAAAGACAATCGCGATCGAAAAGATTAATCGAAACCCTCTTCAAGCGAGATGGCTCGTTTAATTATGTTTGATAATAATTTCATAACAAGAAAGAAAGTCTACCTTGCACTTTAATAAAATATGTTTAACCTATCGCGAAACGTCTTTTTGCGCGTGATCTCTAACGCGATTAAACGGAATAAAGTTATTCGATATATTGTTACAGTAAACGCACCAATATAATTTTCGTGACAATCGTGTTCTGATAATCGCGTGTCCTAAAAGATTAATCTCTTTCGGCAGCTTCGAAGTAACATTATTAAAACTTGAAACAACGGTAAGAAATCGCGGCGTGCAAAAGGACCCTACCTAACTAGGAAACAGGTTACCACTCAAAGGATTGCCGAGCAACCCCTTGGTCACTGTACTCGTTAAAATATTCTACAATTTCTACGTAATAAAAAAAATTAGTAATTTTAAATATTCACTCACTACTTGATGGGAGAGGGGGGAGATAGCTTCGTTAAAGTCTTGGAACATCCACGCAGTCTCCAGATGTTGCCGATAAAGATTACACCAACGTCGGTTTCTCCTCGACGAAGTCCCGACCGCGTTGCTTCTCGATCCCTGCCCCGCACGCGATTTAAATATCTATAAGTCGAAAACCTACGTAAATACGGTAACCGACGCTTACAATTATGTTAGCGAAATATCATTTATAATCTACAAATATTTAAAAGCATACGCATGTTTCATAGATCGCTTCGACTAATATATTTAAATTGTCGGGCGGCATAAACGCGCGAAAATTGTAATTATCTTATCAGTCCCTATGTACTAGCACGTTCCGTTTCCAATTGAAGAAACAAGGTACGCGGAGAACAAGGTTCCGCGGAATCGCCGCCCAATGATTCCAAGATTCTCTGCCGCGATTCCGCGGAATCTGCCTTCGCCCTAACGCGTTCTACTAATCGAAAAAGCAAATTTATACCGGCAGTAACCGGCGCGCCGGGAGAATTTGATTCGAAAAAGGGTAGCCGACGGAGGCCCTCGGCGGTTTTACGAGTCCGTTCCACGCGTTCGATCGACCGGAATCGCGCGCGCGGGGATTCGAGAAATTCTGGCGAGGCCGATTTAAAGTCGCGCCCAAGATCCTGTCGCGAAATCCGCGGCAGACATCTCGCCGTCTTTGCCGCAGGATATTAAAACTTGGCTGGGAGATATATAGCGGCTGTCAACTCGACTGGATACGTTCGGAGACGCGAGAGAGAGTCTCGAATAAAAATGCAACTTAAAATATACCCTGGAAAATGGTATCCAAAGTTTGCCGTCTCATGCCGGAATTTTGCGACCCCGGGAACTTCGGATGCTCCTTTCGCGCTAAAATTTCTTTCGAATCCGTTTAACGTCCGCTAGATTAACGCGTCTCTATCGATCTCTTAGCCTGTGGACGACGTGTATACGCGTCGCAAGGAAATGGCCATGAATTTGGCAAATTTTAGAATAATTCTAGAACAACTTGCCGAAAGAAAGTGCGCCCAGTGGGACTGATAACAAACAAAATTACATTTTAGAGCGTACAAAATTGATTTTAAAGATAGATAGACGCGGCTAAGTGAGCACACAGGAGAGATGTGCCGTTGAAGGAACATTCTTGCTTCGCAAATGTATGAAAAAAGAACAAAAAGCTTCTATTCGATAATAGATAAAATTAATTATCTGACCCGAAAACGGTCGAGAAGGGAGAACAATTTCTTCGCGTGCAACAAAAGGCAATTTGTTGCTCATTCACCGCACTTATGGTCGCAATAAACCAAGAAAATTATTCCAAAGTGTTTTATCTACGACCGCTGTAACCGCTTCTTCGAACCGGACTCCGTTATCAGCACCCGGTCGCGTATCTAATTCGTAATGCGCCGCCGCGCGCCTAACTAGTTTCGTATTGCAGTCACAGAATTGGCAAAATAAAAGGGAAACACGATGAAAAAAAAGGGGGGTCGCCGAATAAAGAATCTGGCACTCCTACCGCTATGAATAAAAATGGGTTATCCGCGCAGTGGGCCAGGACGCGAGAAAGCCGACCGAGCGATAAAGTCGTCGGAAAAACGGTAAGAATCTTTCTAAAGATGCTTTATGTTGCGCTTTTCTGAAATCGCCGAATTTAATATTGGATCGGTGTTTTCGTATATTTCAAGCTGTGCGCGTGCTCGTATACGATCGTAAGAATGATAATCGACGCGAATAGCTTTTCAGTTAATTGTAGAAGTGCCATTTTCAATGATCGAAGCTGTCGCAAGCGATAAAGATTAGACACGATCTTAACACGAGCGCATCGTATTCGAAATCGTCCAAATGAAGAAAGATCAAAACGAAACCACGATTTAGTATTTTTATAATTATTTCGCCCTGCTAACTTTGTACTTCGAAGTGTACTGTATTGATATTGTAACTCACTTGAACCGCATGCGGTGCTTCGAAATATCGACTCTTGGCTGGCTTTATCGCGTTTCGGCCGAGCTATGCTTCCATTCTTTTCCGATACGCTTGCACGTTCTTCGGTCGATAGGCGTTTCGCGTGGCCGTTCGAAATTCTTTGCAGGACCGCCAATTTCCATAAAATTATTACCGGCTGGTGTCCGCCCTCCGGAAATTTGCATACCGTGACCGACTCGCAATCCCGACGAATAAAAAGTTTCCGCGCCGCAGCGATTCGATCTCAACTAGCCGACGAATCTTCGCCCCTTCGTGCTCCAACGTCTTGTAAATCGTAGAATATTTACCGTTCCGTCTCTCCAGCGGCGTCCACGTTTCCGATCTTCCCGATAAATCCGCATCCTGTCCTTTCCCGTAGCTGTTTCGAGCCGACTATTGTCGGATCAAATTGAATTCGTCGCTCGAGACACCCCGCAGATACGATATGCAGTAATGCCTCGATAACTGTCCCAGCTCCGGGGGCTCGCCACGATACGACATTGCCGCGGGATACAGTTTTTCACACCTTTCGAGGACTTGGGGGATGGAGTGGGAAACGTTGAGAGAGTCGAGGGCCAAGGGATGTGTCGCAGAGGGTGTATTCTGTATACTTTTCTTGGGGTGCGTCGCGAGAGACCAGCTGCTCCCAACAGGTGGTAGGGATAACACGCAACAGTTACAGAGATATTTCTATAATTATAGCTTCTGGAGACTTGAAAAAAAAAATCGAATACAGTGAAACCTCGCGCTTTTAACCTAGACCAATTTTAATTCGGTTGAAAAATGAAAATAAGAGGATGAAGAAAACTGAATCGAACGACTTGATCTTTTTGAAGATGAAAATAAAAATAATATACATTGGAAATCGTAGCAATTTCGAGTACTCGATTATTTTGTTACTATTTTACCTCGAATAAGACGAAAGAAAAGATTCTCAAAATAGTGTGCAACGTGAGGATTTTATTTAAAGAAATCTGTGGGTTAAACGAATGAAATAACGAGCAAAAATCTTTCCTGAAAAAGTTTATTGCTCTCCAGAATACTAACGTTTACTCTCAAGACCGTGTGTGTGTTTATTCTCGAAAGATACTACCGAGAGTTTTAATCTCAGATGGATTCACACCTTGTGCTGATAGCACGCGCAGCATGTTTGGACAAGGAAGAATTCGGATAATGGAGGATCGGATAACCTAGATTCTACCGTATTCTTGTTTTGGACTATAGATATCGCGTGCACTAAGATCGACTTTATTATTCTCAACAGGATTTAACGAAGCAACTTATTAGATAACATAACGGTGTTGGGCAATATAAACATACGCAAACAGCGTGACTATTTTTTCCTTGATTTATTATTTCGCTATTTACCAGCCGAGGAAATTATTCGGAATTGTGTGGATGAATTGGAAACTAAAGAAACTTTGGAGACGATCTATTATTGTTAAAGGAGGAGGATCTTGCAGACGATTGAAGAAGGCGAGTATAATTTCTATTAAAAATTTAATACATCTCTTTTATACTTTAAATTACTAATACACTGATATACAATAATAACAGAATTATACCTATTGTCATACTGATATACAAGATTAATTCTGACGTAATACTATCAGAGCTTAAATTAGCATAAAGGACGTCTATTGGAACGACGAAATCGTTAACAGCTCCGTGAAAACGTTGGGTTACGGTACTCGATCCAATTATTTACAACATTTTCACATTCGGAGTAATAATATTCGACGGAGGGCTAGAGTACGAATCCTTGTACAAAGAAGAATACTAATCGTATCGTACAACAGTAACGGAGCGTCGAGCGGAACCCGTGCACGCTCGAGGAATTAAGTACATCGTATTCCTAAAATCTTCTAGAAAGAACTCGGTTAATGAATTTATACAACGTTGTAGAGGAGTATTAAAACCGTGTGCTGAAAAATCAAATCATTCGAGAGACGCGCCAGTCTCGTGTTGTATTCGTTCAAATCGTTTCGATACGGATCACAATCGGCTGTGAAGGTAAAATAGCTAAAATGATGGTTTCAAACGTTCGGAAGCGTACTAACCGACTAGTTTCCACTTCTGCGACTGTTCTCTCGTTTTTAATTCGTTCTCAACTGGTAATCCCCGTTCTGCGTGATATATCGCACCCACGGTAACGCCTGATACCCGCTCTTCTCGATGATCTTCAAGTAGCGCACCTGGATACCGGAAGTCGTGAAATAAGGGATCTCGAATTTCACTTGAATCGGCGGCTTGCCCTCCACGTCTTCGCCAACGACAGACGGGAGGCCGAAGTGTGCTCTCATCAGGTATTCCTTTCCTCCAGGGAACGATTTTATGAACCAAGTTATGGCGCTCTGCTCCGGCGAATATTTCACGCTACCGATGGTGGTCTTGAATTTCGGGGAATCGGCGTCGTTCGGTACCGGAATCACTATTTCTACATTGTTGGCGGTAGATCGCCTCTTAAACTGCGACCTTGCCTTTATCATGTATTCCACTCTGCTGTGGGCATGCCGTTCGATCACAGACTCGATCCATATGAGCGGCTTCACGTGGGTGTTCAGTCTGTACGACATTAATTCGAACTCGCCGTCCGGTGGAATGAAAGAAATTGTTCTGTCGTTCTCGAATCTGGAAAGTCTGACGCACTGGTGAAACTTCACGTCTTCCAATTCCACGGATTTGGACTTTCCGCGTCCTGTCGACTCGAATAAAACCTTGTCGTTCAGTCCGAGTCTTAATTCCGGCATTCCCGACAAATAAACTCTCATCTTTATCGCACCCACTATTTCCGAACTCAATACATTTCCATTGGCATTCGCCAAGAGATTCACAGACTCTATCACATCGAGGAACACCTCGTTCTTGCGATACTTGATACCCTCCGATCTCCAAGACACGGCATTGGTCACAGCCATAGGAATACGCGGTTGAATCTCAAGCTTATGGCCCTCTTGAGTGATGTATTCTTGCAAGATTTTACTGTCCGTGGTTTGAGGATAACCGAAATCTATGAGCTCGTCTAACAGCTCGTAAATGACGACAAAATTGTCTCTTATACTCTCTTCTTCTAATTCTTTAAAATATTCCTGCATGACCTGAACCAGTTTATGCAGGAATACAAATACCAGGGAGATATTGGCATTCTTTTTCGTAGTCGATACGATGTAAAGATTGTTATATTTTATGTACGCGTACGTACATTCCGGCGTTTGAATAATAGGAGTCAGATTACCTTCCTCCTCGCGCTCCATCACTAGAGGCATGAATTTCTCTATAACACCGGTCTCTATATCCCCGCGATAATTCCGCGAGATCAACACCTTCCCTTTCACATCCAAGATGTATATCGCAGACGTCGACATCTTTGCGACGCGTTACACTGCAACAAAAAGAGTGAACCATTCCATGTATATTTTTTATAAATGACACAAAGTGGTGGAAAATGGACGGATCGGAAGTCGGGGCGTAATACTTGATGGACGAGTGTACTGGTAGAATCTAGTTGAGGTTATGTTATCGAACGGAATAGTAACAGAAGCAAAGCAACGAATTACAATGGAAAATTGAGGAAAAAACTCGTCAAAATCAATATCGACGGATAGCAGATAGAAATTTCAAGCAGAATCGATAAGCGAATACGTAGAAGATTTAAGTTGACACTAGACCGTACGTCAAGACGTACGAACATAAGGAGCGAGAATAAACCGGTCGAATGTATGAAATACTTACGTGCCCTTTCAATTCCTCGAGGAATAACGGTTCTCCGGTTATTTACATCGATGAGAATTTCTCTTTGGGAAAATATAAAAGAGATTTTTAGTGATGATACGGCTTCCCCTCTCGACTGCGCGACTGCCACTGTGGACTGCCTTGAAGTTGCCACGGGCCGTGCGCACAATCGAAGCGCATGCGTTGCCAACTTCTCGCCTGATATCGACCCGCCTCTTCTTCGTGCCATTCGAATGGTTTATATGCGGCAGTATTTACTGGAACAGGTTTTTTTAAAATTTTATAACGGAGTATTATTGCTACGATAAAAAAAGATAATTTATTAGTTCGGGCTCGATTGGAAATACCGAGTGCGATGTACGTTCGAATTGGCGAATCGTAAATTTTTATTTTCATTGTACAATAGCGCGCGACTACGCACAGTATAAAATTAATATTCCCGTTCCCAACAATTTATGTGATTTTTTTATCCTTATCTCGTGCATTCATCAAATTGTCTACACAATTCATTTACGTATTTCATTATATGCTACGTAAGCCACCCTTATACAGGGTGGCTGGTAATTAGCGATAGGGAAATAATAAAATCATTTTTAAATAAATGAAAAGAAATTAATGTAATTTGGTCCACTTTTTCATGCTAAAACATTTGAACCAAGATAATTGTCATTGTGCAACGATTTTGTTCATATTGTGCTTATAAGAGTTATGGTCCCTGATAAAAACCGATTCTTGAAACGAACTTGGTCATTGTTGCTGGCGATTAGCTCTCTTCCGTCGCACATAACTTTTCATTGTTCGAACGATCTTGAGTGGTGGCTGTATGTGGCGTTTCGGAGTCGGCGACGCGTTTCACTGGTCAAAAAGAACAATGTCGTACGGTGTCGCGTTTCCGGTGACGGCGAGCACATTTCAATGTGACCCGTGGCAGCACAATGGCTCCCGGTGTTACGTAATAAAAGTGTAGTGCACCAAAGTAGGCAATTGTTCGGCACAAAAGCGCGTTCGAAGGCAGGCTGTGCGCTGTGCACCGCGTCACCTATAAAGTGTATAAAAGAACGGCGAGGGTGATCGAACCCCGTTTGGCTGTCGGCTTCGCGAGGAGAACGAAAAGGCGAATTTAGCGTTCGAGCTAACTACCATCGGCTGTCATGCGCCTTCCGCCGGAAGCTACGCGAAGATCGGTCGAGCCGTTCGAATTTAATTAAAACGTGATCAACTTATTCGAGCGAATCCTTGTTCGAATAAAATCTTCTTCGGATACATTTTTATCCGGATAAACTTTTAGTCGATAAAAATGTCGGAGACATTTTCTTAATAATGAATTATTGATCGGGAGATCGCGATATCGTGTACAGTCTGGTACACAGTTCCGAGAAATTTCTTACAAGTTCGAAAACTGCTCTCGAAACGCGGCACTGTTTGCGCGAAATTCCACGAGAAATTCCATTGTAATTGAACGAGGCCGGCTCTATTATAAAGTCAAATTATCGATGGTAAGGAGTGGCTGTTCCTCCGTCAAGAAGGGAATGCATTTTCTTTCTTCCGTCCCCCCCCTCTCTCTCTCTCTCTCTCTCCGCCACCTTATTCTTCCTTCGCCACCGCGATTCTCTCTGCTCCTTTTTTCCGGCGCCTTAGACCGATTCGGAAGGTACGTATTTGAACTAGAAAGAGAATGAACAAATTTCATTTTCCGAGCAACTCGATTTTCAATTTTCCGCATAATGCTGCCGTAATTATTCTGTGGAATAGTTGGCAGAAAATTGCTGGTAAAGTGCGCGTGAACGTGCAATCTGTACACACCCCATTCGCCGAGTTTCGATTTAACAAGTTGAATTCTCATTTAAACTGTGTCTCGAGGTAACTTGTTGTCGAGGAAATATAAATTTAATCGAAGTTTAGACTGTGCGCGTATTTCTATTCAAGTGCTAATTTTTATATGAAATTTAACCTCCCTACCCCCCTTAAAAGAAATGGAACTCGAAATACAGTAATGTCTCTCTAATTTAGGGAGAAGAGAGACGATTATTTAATCCTTGCGGTTCATTTTTATAGTCACGAATTGTCAACAACTATAAAAACGAGCTTCGAGGCTCGAATAATCGTATCTCCTCTTCCCAAATTGTCCATTTTCGTGGACAATCTGAGCGTCGATTAGAGAGACATTACTGTAACTTGTTGTCAAGGAAATATAAATTTAAAATGCTAATTTTGATATAACATTTCAGCCCCCAAAAAATGGAATCGAACAAACCGAAAGGAAATAAGCGATCGGGGTGTCCGAAATTTGGCTCGCTTTTGTCGCGACTTCATCGACCAGTGTCGCGTCCGTTTCTTTCATCGGTTGTTTCCTCGGCGCTGGTTTTGTCGCTGTTTCTTTCGGTTCACCGTTTTATTCCCCGGCGTCAGATACGAACCCACTGGCGCAGAGCAATCCTCTCGGTTCTCGGTCTGTCGATTTCGCCGGATGAAACGTCAATCTCAAGATAAAGTGGCGGAATACGGGAGCCGGATCTCGGCCGTGCTCCACGTTTGTCGGTCGAGCGGATCCTTCTTCGTGCGGGGGGTGCGCGCGGAGGGTTGAAAGTTAGAGCCGCCCGGGGAATCCGACGCGACCGATAATTGAGACTCGGAATTAAATTAGCGGAACTTCGATTCCTTGAGCGTCCCCCGTGCGACGTAGTTATAAACGCGTTGCCTTGCCTCGGTGTTTTCCCAGCGCCTAATCGCCTGAGGAAACCGTGGATGCGCCCGTGTGCGCCGGCGAAATTCGAGCGCGCGGTAACTCGGGCAATCGTTCCGTTCGAACGAATTCATTTTATGCCGTTTTAATTTCCACGCTGAACTCGGAACGTCGATATGTTACCGGTGACTCGATGTATCGATAATATCGATGCAACGTCGTTTATTTATTCTTCGTTCGCGGATACGAAATTTTATAATACACAACGGTCGATTACAAACTAATTGCGTGTAGATAGAACGTTAAAAATGTTTCGGCTAAAAATAGTCTCGGAAATGAGCCGACCGATTTATTTGTTAACACGTGATGCAATACAATTGATACAATTGATTTGATTTCGAGTAGATGTTATCGATGAATTTAATCTATTTCATTACAGATAATACTGCCATTTNTGCTGCCGTAATTATTCTGTGGAATAGTTGGCAGAAAATTGCTGGTAAAGTGCGCGTGAACGTGCAATCTGTACACACCCCATTCGCCGAGTTTCGATTTAACAAGTTGAATTCTCATTTAAACTGTGTCTCGAGGTAACTTGTTGTCGAGGAAATATAAATTTAATCGAAGTTTAGACTGTGCGCGTATTTCTATTCAAGTGCTAATTTTTATATGAAATTTAACCTCCCTACCCCCCTTAAAAGAAATGGAACTCGAAATACAGTAATGTCTCTCTAATTTAGGGAGAAGAGAGACGATTATTTAATCCTTGCGGTTCATTTTTATAGTCACGAATTGTCAACAACTATAAAAACGAGCTTCGAGGCTCGAATAATCGTATCTCCTCTTCCCAAATTGTCCATTTTCGTGGACAATCTGAGCGTCGATTAGAGAGACATTACTGTAACTTGTTGTCAAGGAAATATAAATTTAAAATGCTAATTTTGATATAACATTTCAGCCCCCAAAAAATGGAATCGAACAAACCGAAAGGAAATAAGCGATCGGGGTGTCCGAAATTTGGCTCGCTTTTGTCGCGACTTCATCGACCAGTGTCGCGTCCGTTTCTTTCATCGGTTGTTTCCTCGGCGCTGGTTTTGTCGCTGTTTCTTTCGGTTCACCGTTTTATTCCCCGGCGTCAGATACGAACCCACTGGCGCAGAGCAATCCTCTCGGTTCTCGGTCTGTCGATTTCGCCGGATGAAACGTCAATCTCAAGATAAAGTGGCGGAATACGGGAGCCGGATCTCGGCCGTGCTCCACGTTTGTCGGTCGAGCGGATCCTTCTTCGTGCGGGGGGTGCGCGCGGAGGGTTGAAAGTTAGAGCCGCCCGGGGAATCCGACGCGACCGATAATTGAGACTCGGAATTAAATTAGCGGAACTTCGATTCCTTGAGCGTCCCCCGTGCGACGTAGTTATAAACGCGTTGCCTTGCCTCGGTGTTTTCCCAGCGCCTAATCGCCTGAGGAAACCGTGGATGCGCCCGTGTGCGCCGGCGAAATTCGAGCGCGCGGTAACTCGGGCAATCGTTCCGTTCGAACGAATTCATTTTATGCCGTTTTAATTTCCACGCTGAACTCGGAACGTCGATATGTTACCGGTGACTCGATGTATCGATAATATCGATGCAACGTCGTTTATTTATTCTTCGTTCGCGGATACGAAATTTTATAATACACAACGGTCGATTACAAACTAATTGCGTGTAGATAGAACGTTAAAAATGTTTCGGCTAAAAATAGTCTCGGAAATGAGCCGACCGATTTATTTGTTAACACGTGATGCAATACAATTGATACAATTGATTTGATTTCGAGTAGATGTTATCGATGAATTTAATCTATTTCATTACAGATAATACTGCCATTTCGTTTAAATAAACGGTCTGTTCTTTTTCGAGAAAATCAATTCCGATACCGCATGCGTTGATACAACGCGCAGTCAGCTCGGCCCTCCGATTTGCCTTAACGATATCTTAACGATGCCACCGATGTATCGTTAAGATATCCGATATCGTCGTGAGATATCGATAACATCGATAATCGAGTCGACGATCGATAACGGCGTCTCCGATCCGAGGTTCGACTTTCCTTCCCTGCGGAAGGAATCCGGCTGAACCCTTTTTTTAACGAATAACCTTCGTGTTCGAAGATATTCGGCCGTTCGAATCATTGATAACCGCGAATGCGTTGCAGTTCTGTCGCAATACCGCGCGTCGGCAGATACGCGATTCGTTGCGAGTAACGTTATGGAATCACGCAACATTTTTATCACGGAACAACGTTTGTTAGAACGCTGGACTTGCACTGGAGTTATGTTAACGATAAAGTTGACAAATTGTTTCGTTAGCGGTGTGAGTTACGGTTGCGAATCGTGTACACGCGCGTTCGCTCGTTCTCCCTTTATTAATATCAAATGCGCCCCTAACCGGTGCCCTCTTATCTGAAACTTTCAATAAGCACGCGAGTACTATGAAATCGGGAGCCCTGCTTTTCCAGCATGATTTATCCGAGTTCTGATACTCGTTAATCGTTAATCAGACCCTCGTACAATCAATTGCACTCCGAAATTAAATTTAAATCGTACAGTATTATAGCGATTTTAACAATAAATTACATAGGCGCAGGAGCGGCACAGGGAAATTCACAGCAACCCCCCAAGAAAAATCCTAGAACTTTTAGTATATAAAATTAAATACCCGTCTATGCAAATAATAATAATAATAACGATAATAATAATAATAATAATAAATATAATATACAAATATAATAATAATAATTTGTAATTTGTCATTTCACAACTGAAACTCGAAGTAACCGCGTTTCCGATTGTCGAGGACGAGCCGCCGTATGCGAGTTGGTTTAGACGTAACCGATAGCGGGTGGCCGAAGCAGGAACGTGACACGGGACACTGATCGGTCGAAAAAAGGCCGGATTGGTCGCAGGTCATCCCCGTAGATCGGACCGGAACCCTTTCCGCGGATCCCAGGTCCCGTTCTCTACGGTATCCTCCGCACGCCTCTCGCTGCTAATACTTCAATCTAATGCCCCCCTTTTCCTCCCTCTGTTGGTTTCAGATGGGGCAAAGAATAGCTGCGTCGGCTTTCGAGAACGGGCGACCGTCGGGGCTCGCCGGAACGACGACGTCGGAGACGGGACGGCGCTCGACCGCGTCCGTATTTTGTCATTCACGGAATGTTTTGAGCGTAATTTAAGTTGCACGGGGGAACGGTCCGAGGATTCGATAGGGGCGGAGGAAACAAGAGGGCGCGGCGAGAACGCCTCGAGCCGGGGAGAGGCACGGCCGCATCGTTTTGCATAACGAAGTCACCGAGTGATTTGTCGGCGGCGCCTTGGATGGCCTACGAAATACCGTGGAAGCTGTTCCTGCGCCCCGATTGGAAATATTTTTCCATCCCTTCCGGTGACGGGCACGCCTCAGGTACACGCCGCAATCTTCCGATGTTATCGAGCGTGTGTGCGAACCGCGACGCAAACGTGCTGAATAAGGGGCTGCAAGCTGTTACACATTCCGGCTGCGGAATCTTCGAACGCCTCCGAATGCCGTTAGTTTGCCGTCTCAAAAATTGATACGACCATTACGGGATTGCGTCGCTTCGAATCCCAAAGAGAAAACCGTCTCCCATGATCGTTCTTTCGAAGGGTCGTGAAATTAATTGAAAATTCGCTGCAGCATCGCGACGCGCCCCTGTCTAAAAGTTCACGAAAATGCTTCCTAATTAACCCTCGATTGTGTACTAAAATGGACAATTTGACGAGACAAATTATTGCTTATAATTATCATTATTTATTATTATTATTATTATTATTAATTATGTAAACCAAGGACAAACATTATTCTCGTTCGAATAATTTCGATCGAACAGATTTTAATTAACGGGCAAGCGTTTTACGTATTGCACGATCTTCGTGCGCTTTTTTAAAAGTATTTTGTAAGCAAGATTCTCTGAAAGTTACGACGCGATTACTATAAAATTGAAGAAGATACATTGCACGCCCAAAGCGTCGACTCGACGATATTTTCTACATAAAATAAGAATGCGTTTAATTAACTTTTAGTTCGCCGTGTCTGCGTTGTACAGCTGTCCATCAATCTTCGTTATCAGCTTCTTTCGCTTCTTTTCAGTTTAATTCCAACGTTGCTCGAGTCTGTTTAGCTATCTCCGATACGGAGCGCTTCGCAATTTTCTATAGAAACCAATTTGTGGAAAATTCGTGCCGTTTAACACGATTCTGCTGCCATCGACCTTAAAAATTTCGGTCATCGGCGTTCGCGAATTTACGCGCACAAAGTCTATACGTACACGTATAAACCTGTTATCCGAGAGTTTCGTATCGTTTATGCGCGCGAATTAAACTCCGATCGCTCAATTTATAGCTCGTTTTAACGTTAACGTTTCGGTATTCGTTTATAAAATCATTTCCGAACGTAATATTAAAATGTCTGTAAAATAAAGCAATATCCATCTTCGATTTCGTGTCCCGGATAAAATTCATTAAAAGTCATTTACGCGTGAAACTATTTCCAAAATTCCGTAAATAATCGTACGCGTACGCGATTAACACGGTACATCGATTTTATATTTAATGAGTTTGATTTCTGACGCGGTACTGGCAAATACTGTCACCGGCAATCCGAATATTACGTTTCGAAATCATTTTACGCGCAACGTAAATTATTAGAAATATTCTTGGAGTTATTCGTACTTATGAAACAATGCCCGGCACAGATTGCACGATAAACTAAATAAAAAAAAAATGAAATTTTTGCTTTCTTTTCTCTTCAATGCAGCGGTGGTTGCAGCGATCATCTCGGCGATCTCGAGGCTGATCTTCGGCTGTGACTAAAGTCGCGTTCCACGGTTATGCTGGTGGCGTCGCTTCGGGTGGCCGCCAGCAAATGCTGTCATGCTCTTGTCATGCCAGCCGGCGGCCAAGAAGAGGCCGCTGGCCACGAGGTCCTTGAGCAGCTCGACGAGCCCCGCGTTCACGACAGACCGCTGCCTCCTCCTGATAGCTGTCCTCGTTCTGATCGGCAGCGAGGGATCGCTCGCGGCCTCGCAAATCCGCTACGCATCGCGCATCGTCGAGACCAAGAGCGGACAAATTCGAGGGATCCTTCAGGTACGTGCATCGAAACTTCTCCTCCCTTTCGCTTCCCGCGAACGATCTTCATTTTGCAATTCCGATGTGTTTTTACGCTAAGATCGATCGCATCTCGGCGTGCGCCACGATTATTCGGCACACCGTGTATTTACCCCTTGACAACATCGGTGTCCGAGAAACGGGAAAACGAAAAAGCCGCTGTGTCGTTGTTCCGCAACGAGAAAATATGAGAACAGCGTAAAAAGCGTACAGTAATGTCTTCCTAATTGACGCACGGTAATGTCTCCCTTACTGACGCACAGATTGTCCACTAAAATGGATAATTTGGGAAGAGGAGATACGATTATTCGAGCCTTGCAGCTCGTTTTTATGGTTGTCGACAATTTAGAACTATAAAAATGAACCGCAAGGATCGAATAATCGTATCTCCTCTCCCTAAATTGTCCATTTTTTAGGACAATCTGAGCGTCAATTAGAGAGACATTGCTGTACTTTGAGAATTTCGCTGCCCACTAAGAAGAAGCGCCTTCCCCGGTGGACTTTAATTAGTTTATGCTTGCGTTACTTACACAAGCTTAATAGAGGGTAGAAATGTGTATTTAGGCGGGCACCTTTTCGAGAGTAAATTCGAGGGAAGTCGGAGCGGAAGATAAAGCGAAAGAGAATTCCAAAGAAAAATTTTCATTAACGATCTTCTCCTTTATCATTCCCCTCTTCTCGTTAGTTAACATTTGTTATTGATAAACATTGTTATTAATAAAGTTTCACAACTGCCGTTACAGACGGCAGCTATTATTAAAAAGTGCGAAAACTTGTTCCATCCGCGTTAGTAAGAACGCTGTCATCGAGATGCGACGCGAGAAAATGGATACAGTAATGTCTCCCTTGCTGACGCTCAGATTCTGCAGAAAAATGGACAATTTGGGAAGAGGGGATACGATTATAAATTGTCATCAATTATAAAAACGAGTTCCAGGGCTCGGATAATCGCATCTTTCCTTCCGAAATTCTGCATTTCCGTGGACAATCCGAGCGTCGATTAGGTAAGCCTCGCGTTGCATTTCGTAAGCGTATTTCCGATGGCTCGCTTTGCAAAAGGATAGGAAAGATTTCACGGCGCCAGACGCGCGCGCGATATCTTTTTTAAAAAGAATCCGAAATAGACAAGCATCCATCATACACTCCGGGGCTCGTTTGCATACTGCATGCATAATGCGTGCACGCGCTGAATCTCAAAGGGTCCGCAGCGAGAAGCAGATTGTGTCGCGGGAACCGGATCAAACAGCGAATAAAATTCGCACGCGAGCGAGCGTTAAAAAGCTGGACGGCGAACGGTACGAAAATGTGGGGCGCGCGGAGGGCGAAAGGAAATCGACCGTGCTACGACCGTAAAGCACGTATCCGATGAAATAAATAATTCTAGATAGGATAAGTGTCGTCGCATTACACTCGGAAATCTTCGGCCCGGTATTCATGGAATATTTGAGTATATCGATTTCCACCGTTTTGCCCGGCGCGACGCGACGCGACGCGGCGAACCGAGGAAGGGGAATTTTCGAGAGCGAAACGGTCGTTGGATGGAGTTCAACTATCGAATTCATTGCAAGCGTGGGTCCGAAATCGCTTGGACGGTAACCCAAAAAATTCTTTTCGCTTCCGGTTCTTCGATCATCGAACGATCCATCGTTATTTTTTTCAGCACGGATCTGTTCGGATCTTCGATTCCGATCCGTGGACATTTCCGGGAGAAATTACCGTACCGCGATGCTTTGAAACAAAAGTTCGAGAGGTGTAACTTGCGTATTAAACGACCCTCGCGCGTGTCCGCGAAGCTTTTAACGACCCCTCGCGTCTCGCGAGTGTTTCGAGGAGGAGCGGGAAAGCTGCGAACAGCGGAATAAAGGCGCGCGTCGCGCGCGTCCGGGAAGGGCGAACACGCGTCCATTTTCGGTGCACCGCGGTTCCGTAATTCGCAGGCCGTTTTTAGACCCGACCACCGCGCAGTCCCCGCGGCGGATGGATGGATAACGAGAAAAGTTTTTCGTCCAGGACGTCCGGCGGACTTTACATTACGTTGTAACGCGCGTCCCTCGTTTCTCGTCCGCTTCGCTCGGTCCATTTCCCGCGATCGAGTGCTAAACAGGCTCGACGGAAGGGAAAATTGTTGTTCCGTCGATCGTTTCGCTAGATCGATCCCTGCTACCGCGCCAACGAAGATTCCGTTGAAACGGTTACTTGTGGCGCGGTTCTCGAATGAATCGGAACGTTTCGATCAACGGGCGCACCATAAAGAGAGCCGCGAAACTAAGCGGCCGGTTTACCTGAAATTCGTCCTGAAAAACTTGAACCTGTTTCCGTTGCTGCGAGCTTCACCGGTTCATCGAACAATGTGTGAAAGCATTTTTGCAAAATAAATTATGGCTTTATTAATTATTGACAAGTAAATTATGGCTTTCAAAGTCTGCGTCTGTACGAAACGACGCGTTTTGTAGAGCGCATAAAAGCGTTCGATTTATCAGAGCAGCGAGCGCATTAAATTCTTGCATACTAAATCAATAAATTCTTAAATGGAAATTAAGTTACTCTAAATTCTTGTTATTTTTTTATAAACGCTTGGCTGTGTAAAAAGAGCGTCGAGATCTTTCGAAGATCATTTTGATTTCTTCTTGAAACGAAACGACGCAACTTTCCTGTTAACTTCGTATTCTCGTAGCGATAAACGAAAAAGAAAAAAATCAATTTTCTAATTTATCAATAGACCGGATCGAATCGAGATTAAAAATTGACCGACTGCGACCACCCGCTTTATTTCGAGCCATTGTACACGCCGGATACTCCGGAACAGCGTCGTTAGGCATTTTTTTCCTCGAGCTGTTCGACCCTCGTTTAAATGTCTCCTTCTTTTCCCTCGAATTTATCGCGAGTCGGAACGAATGGTCGAGTGATTTTTTTCCTTGCATTTCACTCGGTCGGAATATTTCGTTCCACCCCCTCGCAGGGCTGAAAGTTCCAGCGCTCTCTACGATAATGAGAATTACGATCACGTCTCTGGCCGACCGATTTCGGGGTAGAATCGGTGCTCCACAAAGGATTATAATGACCCACGTGTCATACAGTCGCGTCACGTATCGCGCAGTTGATATTTCGCTTCTCGTATGCTGACCAGGAATGCCGAAGAGTATAATATCTGCGCCGAGAAAGTGTGCGAAAGAGGAATCTCGTTCGATCGCTGAATCGTTTCTTCGCGAATTTAGCATCTGCGTCGTAGAATCCTTGATATCAAAAGATATCATCATGCGTCGCCACGATTTCTCGAGCACTTCCGACGATCTGAGTAAAAGGTTAATTAGTCTTTGGTCGACTACAGATTATTAATATCCGTTATTGCTCGTATTATTAGTATCAGTGTTATTTAATTTTCACATCAGCACCGATCGTTTCGTTCTATCTTTGCTCATTTCTATCTTATTATCGTCGATGCGATAATCATAATAATTATCGTCGGTAGCATCTTGCTCGCTATAGATTAAAAAGAAGCAGATAATATCGGAATTTGCCGGCGGACAATTTAGAGACATCGAGTAGCTTACATTTCGGCGCACGGTTCTACATAGATCGGAGGAATAGCGTCCGGTGGAATTTCCAGGAATTCTTTCTCCGCGGGCAGTCATTAGTCGCGCAACAATTTGCCCGTGAAATCCCGCGGAGCGGTTGGTAAAAATTCACGCGTGCCCCGTTTCCGGTCGAGAGGAAGCAGCCCCGGGGCAGCCGGCGCGGCGCGGCGCGGCGCCACGGCAAATTCACGGATATTTTCATTTCCGGCGCGTTTAGTGCCCATAAAATCTCTAACACGCGGCAGCTGTTTCGGGGGTAGGGCGGGTCGCGTACGTACAATCGGCATGTAAACTGCCAAATATTTTATTACACGGGCAATGTGTCGGCGGAGCGTCGCTAAACGCGCGACCACCAGGACCGTACACAACGTCCGGCTCACTGCGGGAGCCCGGCCGGCCGATGTAATGTCATCGTTCCGTAATTATGTCGGCATTACCAGCCGGCTATTATTATTGCCAGATTGCTATGGAGAGCGCGTATAGGGGCCGGCTGTTTGGCCGGCCCGACTAACGTAACCATAATTACGCCGTGATCAAGGTAACACGATCGAGGGATGAAAAAGCACAGGGCCGGAGGCGTAGGCCGGTTATGGAAAAACGTGTCCGCCCCGAGGAAAACGGGGGCCCTTTCAGCGAACGGCGGCCGACGCGCGACGAGCCGCGTCGCGTCGGGGCTTCCAATGATTACGCGTCAATCGTTATTTCCTGAAAGCCTCCAGTGATGGCGAAATACGTTAAACGAACGCCCCTCGCCCCCATCCCCCGCAGGTGGATGCGCGCGAAACTTTGGGCGAATGGTGCCGGGGATGTTGGACCGGCGGAAAATTAAACGGGAATTTGCAATTTTATCGGAGCCCCGATGGCTCGCCGAAAATTAAAATCGTAATCCGCTGTATTATTCTGCAATTATTTCGACCTGGATTATATTCCCTATTTTATCGTAGGCTTATTTATAAAATAACGGCTCGCGGTTATCGTGCGCTCGTCGTTGCAAAAAAATATATGAAACGAAGGAATATCGCTCGGGTCTTTTAAGCTGGTTAACGCTGTATCGTTGCACAATGTTATAATATATTATAACATTTTATTATATTATATTATATTATATTTATTTAATATTTATTCGGTGTAAACAGCCGAACCCTTCGCTCCCCGCGTTTCTTAACCATTGGGGGGGGGGGGAGCACCCTTTATATGCATGTATGCGACACACGCATGCGACAAAAAGCGTTGTCACGCTTCGAAGACGTTTCCGTCGGAAACGAGATTTTCGCCGCGAGAAAGAAAAAATCGGAAACAAGACCCTCGACTCGTCCGGTAGTTTTAGGGTTAATGCGAACATCCCCTAATTCACCCGGTGCAACAGGAATCGCACCTACAGCGGCCAGCAAGTTTTAACGACACGAGTCTTGTAGCGGTTCTCGTACACCGTTTCCAAAGTTCCGAAGTTTCGCGATTTTAAATTTCGAAAGTTCGCGGTCCCTTTGCCGGACGCGGGATAATGCAGTCGAAATATATTTCGTGGAAGCGTCGCGTAATTTCACGGTATGGTACGAGCGCGATTCTACTCTCACGGAAGCATTAGCGGCAAGATTGCTCGCGCGATCTCTCCGAGCCGTAAGCATACCGGCGCGGCGCGGCCCACGGTAGATTAAAATCGTCGAAACGCTGACTAAACTTGTGTCATTGTTATTTATGCGCGGTCCATTATGAAATGGACTGTTTTACAGGCTTTTGGTGTCGTAACGTATAATATAATATAAAATAATTTAATATTAATATATAAATTTAAATATATATATAAATTATACTATTTTAAATTAGAGAGAGAGGGAGAGATAAAAACGATAATCGTAGGAACGCGTACGGGCAACCGCGAACTATCAGAAATCAATCGCGGCGACAGGCGAAATCGGCGGTCCCGCAAGGATAAATAACTCGTCAACGCCATGGGTGTTTTGCGCGAGCGTGCGCGCGGGGGAGCGAGCGAGCGACGAGTGAAAGTCGTTAATTTTTAACACGCTCGAAAATACACGCGTGAACGAGGTCGAATCGCTGGGGAATGCAATTTTTAAATATTCCCCCCATTTTCCGCCCTCGCCCTCGTGCCCGATTGCCGTCAGCGCGGCGCAGCGCGTCCTTGTCACAATTATTCTTCTCTTTCCGAAAAATATTGAAGCGGTGATTTCGATATTAACGCGGAAGCGGAGATTCGCGAACGTTATTTCCGTCCGTAAACTGACAAATATTTTATTCCGAACGCGACGATTTTCGCCGACCATCGAACGGGACACGGCGAGCCGCGAAAGCGTTGCGAGCGCCTTTCAAAGCGGAATAACTTTATTATAATTCGACGAATACTTTCGGCGGGGTAGCTTACGCGATCGACGACATCGCCGATGCTTGCTTAGCAAACGATCGATCCGAGGACTCGTCGAGACAGAGGAGGAATATTTCGTAGAGGAATTCCTCCCGGTGGTACACGATCGGCATCCGAAGCAAGAGGCGGCATAATTACGAGGACAGGGGTTGAGAATAAGGAGGGCAAAAATTTTTTCACGACCGTCCATCCCCTTCCCCCCCGCCCTTTTTATTATTCCTCCGGTAACACCGGCGATCCTCGCGTTAATGGGAATTCGTGATTTTAAACCCGATGCGACCCCGTCCGCGTTCCGAATGGGGAACGGAGAAAGAGGGAAGCGAGTTCGAAGGAACGATCTTTTCCTCGCGGCACCCGGAGGCGCAATTAACGTCGACGCGTACCAAACGAGATTTATTAGCTCTTCTGGTATAATTGCTTCCAAGAAAGCCGGCGAACTGCAACCTTTTTTTCCCCCCCTGTACAATTACGTCTAACGAAAGCAATTATCGAGTTCCGTAGTTTCGTAGTCGCCCTAATTCTGAGCTCCTTTGGACAGCAACTTCGAGCAGTTTGCGACCGGAAGTAAATAAAAACACGGGAGATGAAAGTGTACAGGCCGGCCAGTAACCGGGGGCACGGCGCAGCAAGAAGACAAATTGTAGAATATTTATTCCTTCGATTTCGAGAAGAATTAGGTTGAAAATAATATCCGGAAAATAAAATTCAAGTCGTTCGGTCGAGTTTTGAAAAAGTTACACCGTTCTCCGAGGGGTCTCGAGTATACCGCCACTGTAAATACCGTTTCGGACCCTGCTTCGCATAATCAGGATGTAGGCAGAACTTTATTTCCACCGCGGAGGATTTCGTTAGATTTGCAAGGACGTAATGCGAGCTTAACGGGACGTTATTAGCCTCGGAGAACGCGGCGGGAAATAACATAATCGTCAAAATCTGTTCGCAACGGAAAGAACCGCGGAAACTGGAGGTACGTTCGCGCGACCGTGTCGAGGCGGCGCGGCATCTGCGGATTGTCGCAGCCCTCGTAAACCACGGATAATCGAAACACAGGAGGTAATTAGGTAATTAGTTTCTGGAAAAGCGGGCGCGTGCCCGACCAGGTTTATGCAACATAAAACAGAGGATTTACATTTAACTCAGCATTGTTGTCGTTCGCGATATTAGCGTCAGAGATCTTCCCTATCTACCCGCTGCACGCCGATTCGAGTAACGAGGTATTCTCGTTGTTATTTCAGTTGCGAAATTCATCGAGTTAAGGTGAAACGACTCGCTAATCCGCGACAGAGATATCTCTCGAGCGTCCTATTAACAAATAAATTTGCACGCGACGCTCCGACGGCTCTATTGTACGAATTAAGTTCGCCGGGCTCCGGATCGAAGAGGCTGTTGCATACAAGGTGTTCCAAAATTACGCGTCTCCCCCCTCCTGCCGGCGATCGACCGCGAGCTCCTTTTCCCCCACTCCTACCGGAGAGTCTCGGATGGGAGGACACCGAAGTGGGGGGAATGCGTCGTCGTGGCCAAAAGGCTGACTTACGCATCGTCGCGTCTTAAATAAATTATTAAATAATTAACATATAATAATAATATTACTAATATGACATCCCTTATGTACCCCTTCCATTGCTTCAATTTCAGTGCGTTGGCGATTGCAGGACGCAGGGCAACGGGAGGGCAGAGAAATTCTTTTTTATTGCTTTCGTTGTTAGCATAGCGCGTTTTGAAATTGACCCTTTTAAAGATTTCATGCGTTATATGAATAAAGTTTTTCAATATAACGAAGTTCTGCAGTCAAATTACTCTCACCGGATGATGTCTACAAATATACTCGATAACTTTAAACAGGTACGGAATATGGAATGCCGTTGATGGTCGTTCCAATTTCATACGTGAACGATCATCGATAACGCGCGTAACGATACCAGTTTCGCGTATATATAGGTACGAGCATCGATACATTAATGATACCAATTTCACATGCGTGCAACCATCGACGGTGATTCACGATTTAAAGTTGTAGAAAATATTTGCGAAACGCGCAACTTTTGAAGAGAGAGAGAGAGAGAGAGAGAGAGATAGTGGGCTACAAAAACATTGGGTACATTGTTATTGCAAAAACTTTGCGATAATTGCAGTTGTTTAAAACGATAACAAAATTAAGAAATCACAAGACTTGTAATATTAATAAAAAGTTATTCGATAGCATTGAAAATACTGGAGATTTTAATTGAGCTCTTTCAGCTGACAATGAGACACCCTCTATGAACGAATTATCATTTTCTACGGAAATCATTGGACACAGTTTTACACCTTATCGTAATTCGTAGCAGTTTCTGTTGCAGACCAACGAATAAGACAAAGTTTTTCGTTGTTCCCGAAGCGAGAGTTCCACTAACGGAAGCGCTGAACTTTCTTGCCGCAGGAGTTAAACAGCAGACACTTGGACCCGGTGGAAGTGTTCCGGGGTATTCCGTACGCGGCCTCGCCCATAGGAGATCTACGATTTCGACCGCCAATCTCTCCGATTCCTTGGGACGGTATCAAACTGGCGGACACGTTCGGCGCGGTCTGCCCGCAGCACTTACCGGACATCAGCAATGACACGGTCGCCCTTTCGCAAATGCCTCTGGGCAGGTATCAGCAGCTGAAACATTTGCACATGTTCCTGACCAATGAGAGCGAAGACTGCCTCTTCCTGAACCTGTACATACCCGGAAGCGGTGAGGATAACGATCTTTGACCATACTTGAAATCACGAACTATTTTGTTGGCCGAAACTTCCGCCGGACCAAGTAACATTGTCAGGGATTAATGGATCGGGCCATTAGACGATCCGTTGAACGGACAGAAACGAGAGATCTCCGAAAATTTGTAGACGCGCGCACAGGGTGTCCCATAATTATGTTAACGCTCGCAAAAAGGGGCGATTCCTCGGGTCGTTCGACGTAACTTTTTCGTTCGCGAGTTGTTAACGAAAAACGTGGAACGCGTTTAATGGAAATGGATAGTGATTTAATAAATGTACGAGTCCCAGGAACTTACTTTCAAGTTAATCGTAACACGCGAGAGCGCTTCTCGTTCGTAGCAAAATATTTTCCATCGAATATTTATCGTTCGCCCATATCCTATGCCGTAGAAGGCGTGTATCGCATGTGTGCAATATTCTATGCCATTTATGTACTTGGAAGTTGCATAGAAACGGAGTGAAAACCGAGTTTCATAGAATGTCTGTCCAAATTCTACGTCGACACAAAATACACGCAAATGTATTCTATTTAACGAAGGAAACGTTTAACGATCTGTCGACCGAATTACATTTACGATCAAATTTCCGTGGAATTATTTTTAATTAAAAAATGCACGTATCGATGTATTTCGGACGTTATTTAATTCCGAAATCGATCGCACAAAATCGTTCGATTTCCCTCGTCGCTCCGATAAACGCGCACTCGACGGATCTCCTTTTATGCCCGTGGATGTTGGTTTTGCAATTATCCGCTAAGGTTAAATTAGTTCAGAGCTTTTTAATGACAATTCGACGGAGCCTGTGACACGGCCGCGACTTTAACGGTCGCCGGATGATGTACGAGCGCTCGCGCTCTTACTTTGGTGATAATATACCGGGTATAAAGGTACTAATTACTCCGGAACTAATTACTTCGGGAAGTAAGTTGCTTCGTAACAGTGCGCTCCCTCCATAAACAGGTGATAGATATCGGTACAAAATTTCCAGGCGGTATGTTATTAACGCGAGTTAATTAATTACGAGTGTTGCACGCGTCGCAGATCAAGAAGATTTTCTTTGAAACGGGATACCAAAGCGCGACAACGTAGTTAATGATACTCGCGCGCTTGGCACACATACTTTAACAATCAATATTCGAGCGTCGGAACTTTAATTCATAATATGTTACATTCAGCGCATCGATCGCGCGCGCTTCCAGCATACCGGGTGCTCGTTTTCACGTGCTTACAAGTGACGTTAATATTCGGGCACCATCAGCGTGTACAGTAATGTTTCCCTTACCGACGCTAAGTTTGTTCACTAAATTGGACAATTTGGGAAGAGGAGACACGATTATTCGAGCCTCGTTTTTATAATTGTGGACAATTTAGAACTATAACAATAAACCGCAAGGCTCGAATAATCGTATCTCCTCCTGTCTCTTATACACATCTAGATGTGTATAAGAGACAGGTTCACTAAATTGGACAATTTGGGAAGAGGAGACACGATTATTCGAGCCTCGTTTTTATAATTGTGGACAATTTAGAACTATAACAATAAACCGCAAGGCTCGAATAATCGTATCTCCTCTTCCGAAATTGTCCATTTCTGTGCGCAATCTGGGCGTCATTGACACATGCAATGTAATATTGTAATGCACGCTGACAAGTCAAGTCTGATTTTTCTATTTCTTTGTTGTCATTTCGAGTAATAGTAACGTCTAGCTAACTAATAAATCTAGTAAACTAGCCTAGTCGATTCGAGAACTGTTATTTTTCAAAGGTATTCGAAAACCTGCCACTGTGCGCTGCAAAGGTGGCAACGTTTCAGGTGTCAAAGCGAATCCGGACCTTGTGACAATTGTCTGCCAACTTTCAGCAACCGTATCCTCCTTTCCCGTAGAAAAAATAATTTTCGTTTGACTCGGAGTCGAACAGCGACGTGTCGGCGCTGTTTTTCATTCGGGTCTCGCACGTCCACGAAATCCCCGAAATCGACGAAATCGACGAAATCGGGAGCGTGTCTCGCGTTGTTATTTGCTGGTGCCGACGCCACGGGCGACAAACGTGGTCCGCTACCAATTAAATCGGCCGACCGGATTGTAACGCGATAGAGAAATTCAATTTTCGACGAAACCAATAAAAGCGACGTCGCGTGCTAATCGTACGGCCCCTCGTTTCCGCTTTGCCGCCGATTAAAGAGCGATATTTAGCCGCGATAGCGGCGCGATTAACGACACTTCAGAGAGATATTACGGCGACGATTCGACTGCAGGACGCCGCGGGCTAATTGGCCGAAAAATCGCTCTCGATAATTGCGTGCCTCGACTGTTCTCGGCCGAGGTTACAAAGTACGGCAATGTCTCCCGAACTGACGCTCGGATTGCGCAGAAAAATGGACAATTTGGGAAGAGGAGATGCGATTATTCGAGCCTCGCGGCTCGTTTTTATATCGCTTGACAATTCGTAGCTACGAAAACGAACTCCAAGGCTCGAATAATCGCGTCTCCTCTTCCCAAATTGTCCACTTTTCTGGACAATCCGAGCGTCGATTAGAGAGAAATTACTGTATTTTCGCGAGCAAAATCGAGAGATAAAATTTTGAGGAAGGGTCGAGGAAAGGGAGGAAAGGGGACCGTGCCCCGAATATCGAATTTCAACGGCGGACCTTCATAATTTTTCGAGATAACAGTAAATTCTCCCTAATTCGCGCTCTCGAGCAACCTTTCCGGTTTGGAGCAACTTCCGGGACACCCTGTACATCGAACCTACTTCCATCCCTAACTGCAGCCCTGTTTTTACAGTCCTCGGCGTTTTTCGTTCGCGCGGATGAAACTTGTGCGCGGCTCGCGGTGATCTCGATCTCGCGTAATTAAATTTCCGGCCCGAAAACGGCGTGCCCTTTTTCGAAATCGTTCTTCGTCCCGAGTTACGCTGCTCGTAATAATATTTTCGAGTTATTGTTACACGGGAGAGGAGAGAGAGAGAGAGAGAGAGAGGAGAGAGAACGAAGTTACCGCGACGTTCTACGAGAATATATAATACAATTCGCGACCTTGCCCGCCGGACGAAATTATATCCGCGGTGCCCTGCGCCGAATAACGAAGCGTTTTAATCAGGCCAATTGGACGGCTCCGCAGTTTTGTAGCCCTCGTCTTGTTCAACCGGAACAGCTAATTAAATCGCGGTGCGACGTCGTGTCTGCCTAAGCAGCGACCGCTTCTACTGAAGCGCGCGCGAAGTGTCTCTACAATTAAACAGACCGCGAATGTCTGCCAACTAAATTGCTAATGCTAATGCCGGGGAACCGTTCCGTCGCCAGTTTCGAGGACACACTCTTCAAACTAGGATATCCACTCGTATTGTTACCATTAGCGATATTAGATTCGACGTTGCTGGCAAAATTAATTTCCACGGCCGCGCGGTACAGCGGAGAGTGCACGGTAAATCGGGACGAGTGGACGAAACGAAACGCCAATGGCTTGTTTAGATAAGAGCCGCGAACGAATTGGTATCGTAATCGATCGCAACGTTTCGCCCCAGCGACGATAGATCCGCGCGCGAATCATTTTTCGAGTCGCCGCGTTCGAAGAATTTGTGGCCATCGATGTTTCGACGATGCTCGATCGTTTCTTGAATCTTTTACACCGACGATCGACGGCGATTTATGGTCGCATAAAAATTCCGCACGCTGTAAAATGCGTTGATCTATTAACATGCACTGTCGATTGTTGCAGGCTCGCGAGGATTAGAAGCACCGTATGCAGTTATGGTTTACGTTCACGGCGAAAGCTACGAATGGGGAACCGGGAACGTCTACGATGGATCTGTGTTAGCCAGTGCTGGCCACGTTATAGTGATGACGCTTAATTACCGTCTAGGAATCTTAGGTGTGTGCTCTATGAAGCAAGGAAAAAGCGTGGCGAAGGAACAGCGGAATTCTTTAACGATAGATCCACCAAATCGGTCAAAATGATTAATTAAAATGGCTTCAAAGACAAAACGGGGCTTAAAAAGGCTTAAAATATCGTGGAACGTGTCCCCTTAAAAGTTTCCATTACCCCGAAGAAGGTTACGTTCGGTGACGCGCGGATGGCAGGCGGTTCGATCGCGAACAAAATGGCGCAAAAAGAAGATGTACATTTTGTATACGGCAACCTAATAATTACACACTCCCCGGCCGAGTCATAAATCCGCGGGGAGAATTAATATTTCATGGTTCCGTAACCGTATTCAATTACAATATCCGGAATAACCGATACCACGACCCCGTTTCCTGTAATCGAGCTATAGCCATCCGATACGTAAACAATTTTATTGCGGCGCTGGCTCCGATAAAAAAGAAACAAAATAACGCGAAAAAAAAACTGGATTCCATTTGCGATATAAATTCTAGCCGGCCGTGTCTCCTTGCTCGGGCACAGAGGACTTCCGCATCGATTCTTTAAACTGGAAATGGAAAACAAGGCCGCGCGACAAGGGAGGCCGGCGGACGAAATCGAGAAAGAATCGCGATAGGATAATAACGACGCCCGAAATATTTGCCGTATCCGATTCCGCCGGCGGAATCGTCGACTCGCTAACTCTTGGCGGTGTTCCAGGCTTCCTAAGGACTCGACCGTATCCAGACAGGATCCCGGGATCCGGCGGGAATCTGGCCTTGAAGGATATTGCCATGGGGCTGCGGTGGGTGCGAGAGAACATCGCAGCTTTCGGCGGCGATCCGACCAAAATCACGCTTATTGGCCACGACACCGGCGCCGCTCTGGTGAATTTCCTGTTGCTCGCTCCCTACGGCAAGGGTAAGTCACCCCCTTGGCCCCCCCTCCCCCAATTTTACTTGCCTACGCATGTTCTATGTTCTATGGGAAATGTCGGGGGCACTCGACGGCAAATTATTTATCACCGGACTGCGGATATCAGCGATTACAGTCGTTTCTCCCGGAAATGTTCGGAGGTCGGAATTGAAAGCGGCAGATCCGAGAATATTAAGACGCGATTCTTCGAGCCGGAATAAAAATGATGACTTAACTTTTTAGTTTGTAATTTTTTGCCACGATTCGAGGGCAATTTGGAGGCCACGTGCCACGATTCGAAAGGCAATTCCTTGTAATGTCAAGGAATTGTAGCTCCGCGGTTCTTCTTGCTTGACTCACGCCCAACAGATGTAACAATAAATTACATAGGCGTAGAACTAGCACAGGGAAATTCACAGCAACCCGAAATATGGCATTTCCGGGAGAAATTACTGTATCCACGTGTTTCTCCACTCTGATCCTGATGAAACTCGAATATGCGACAGAGCTTGACATTTTCAATAACTTTTTCCTTAAAATGCTTCAAGAGAAGCGTCCAGGATCGATCGATCGTAAAGGAGTCGTCCTCCATCGCTGGGATATCCTGTCCCATCCCCCACACTCAACCGGACCTCGTCCCTACGGACTTCTATCTCCCTTAAAGGACAGAATTTTGAATCCGAAGCAGCGGTCGGAGCAGTTTTCTTTACGAGAAAACAAGGAATCGTGGAATTACGCGGAAGATGGAAAAACAGTCGATGCACGATCGAACGAGGACATTTCTTCGCATAAAAAGATCGCTTCGTATTTACTCGTTAATCGCGCACGGACCTTCCGACCGATCGAAATGGAGCAGCGACAAAGTTCTGAAACCGACGCCGAAAATAGATCCGCGAAATTAGATAACCGTGACGAATCGCGGGCGCCTAAGAGGAACGATCGTAGTCGGCCCCGATTCAACCGATGACGAAGGACCGTACAATAACGAGCGGCATCGAATGAAAATCGATTCGGAATAGAGCAGAAATATCGCTGTCGGGCACGATTAGAGGGATTCAGCGCGGCCGACACTCGATAGATTAATCGGCGAGAGATTAGTCCGGCGAAACCAGCGAGCCGACAATCGAGATAGCGGGAGATCTCATGCAAAAAAAAACACACACCTGCGCGCGCGCGCGCACTCACGCTCGCGTACGTATACGCGCACGCACAGAGAGCAAAAAGAGGAATCGGGAAGAGGAGGAGGAGGAGGAGGAGGAGGAAAAATTGCGCGTATCGATCTCGCGTGGATGCGGATGGTGACAAATTGCGTAGGTTCGTTTTATACCTCGAGAACCGAGAATGTATTTTTTATTGGCATCGTACGTGTCCGAGCAGATTGGAGTTTCCGGATCGTTTCGAGTCGGGATGCCCGTCGACGGAAACGGAACCGCGCGCGACAACGCCGACGCGAAAATTCGTCGAGGAAAATATGCGGACGCGTCGCGGCCCGTCGCGACGAGAGCAGCGTAAATAGACCATCTCTCGGCCTAATATTGTCGTCGGACTTCCTGCTTGTCGCGCGTCGCACGCCGCCCGGAAGTACGAACCTGAATTCGACGGGAAGTCGACGAATAATTAGGGCTAATTTGATGGCCCGATGACTTGTTTGCCGATGTTCGACGTCTCTTTGTTGATATTCCCCTATTACCGGATGAGCTCCCCCTATTATCGGACCGCGCCTGATATCGGACAGTAGCTACATTCGCGAAATTGAAAACCGTTACCGAATAGCAACCTTCCGAAAAATTGATCGAACAAACGATACGCGCCACAGGCCGGGAAACCATCGATGGTTCTCGATAATTTGCAAAAAATATCGACGAACATCGAATTTCCTTCGAATCGTGTCATGTGGCCTCCGAATTGCCTTCGAATCGTATCAAGTGGCCTCCGAATTGCCTTCGAATCGTGGCAAAAAATTAGAAATAAAAAAGTTGAGTCATCGTTTTTTATTCCAGCATTGCTATGTATTTTTTACCGACTGCCCCGAGTTTCTACAAAAACGAGCCGCGAGGCTCGAAGAATCGTGTCCGAGTGTCCGGCGATTACCCTTTTCACAATCTCAAGCTCCGAGACTTCTAGGGAGAATTCTTCGGCCACCTTTCTTTATATAAAATATCTCTACCGATTCAAAGGCGTAGGATCGCACTGTAACAATCGCGACATATAATTTCCTAACACTCTGTATGTACAATCTCTTACATCTCCTAAGAAAAATGTCTAAAAAAAGAAAAACAACGCACACCGTCGCTTTCATCGAGAATACGAATAATTGAATCGACGATCGATCGTCGGAACTCCAGAGACAACTTGGACATTAGAATTTCGAAAGTCTCAGAGAATTCCCGCTGCTATCATTATTTTTAATGCGCCATCAAAACATCGCGCCAGTTTCTTCGACTCCGAAAGTTCGGCCGAGAAGCAGCAGAGTGAATTCCCGAAAGTTTCAACGAATTCAACGGCTCGGCCGGTGATTCGCGGCCAGCCGGACGTACCCTACATATGCCCGGGGCGTAGAAAAGAGAGCGACGATAAGAGAAAAAGGGAGGCAGGAAGGGGCGGGTAAAAAGAGGAAACCCGGGTAAAAGTTGTCCGGTCGAAGCATCAACTTCCTCCCGGCGCTCTTCGGTAGCACTCAAGTGCATTCTGACGGCGCTTGGCCGCGCGGATGGATCGGAAAGCTCTCGTGGCCCCTTATTCACCGGAAGTTAGTCGTCCGCTGGCGTACCACGGTATCGGGATCAAAAAGAAGCGAAGAGCGAAACGGAAAAAGCCGCAGCCCCTGACCGAGACTGGAAGCTGTTCCGCCGACGCTTCCTGCGGCTGCTCTCGAAGACGGAGACAGCGTGTGCCAGCCGAGACGGACCCTATCCATCAAGATGTAAACTGTTTGCCGCGTTTCCGTTGCAACCGGAAGCGACGGGAAATGGCTAGGCGGAGGGACAGATTCGGACGGCCGCGGATTCCCTGGAACCTCGCTCTCTTTGGGAAATACATGGCGCACGTGGCACCTGTTATCTTGCCGACCATTGTCTTATCGTTATAACAAGAATCGTCGGCAATGAAAATATCGTACAGCGTGTCCCACAATTTGGTGATTCAGGCTGATTCCTGAGATCATTCGAAGTAACTTTTTCCTTAGCGAAAATGCGATCCGCGGCTTCGTTTACGAGTTATCGACGAAAAACACCGACCAATGAGAGACGAGCTCGGCTGGCGCGAGGCGGTCGAGACAACGAGCGGTCGACGCCCAGTTTCGCTGATTGGCTCGGCCGTTTTTCGTTAATAACTCGTAAACGAAGCCACGGATCGCATTTGCGCAAAGGAAAAAGTTACTTCGAATGATCCGAGGAATCTCTCGCTTGCCGGAAGTAACATAATTTCGGGGCACCCTGTATTACGTGGAAAGGAATGGGACCTAGAAGCTACCGCAGTGGAAACCCTTAAGATTGGTTAAACGAGCTGTACGCATCGCTCTGAAAACAGCTTCCGGAAGAAGAAGAAGAAGAAGAAGAAGAAGAAAAAGAAGAATCGAGTCGGCGGTAATTGGGGAAAATGAAATTAGTCACGCAAGATGGTTTTAATTAGAGATCTGTGCGCTTGGATGCGAAGAACTCGGGGCTGACAATAAGTTTAATAACTTTACCAAGAAATGCTATAAATATGAAAGTTGCGTGCCTGATAACGTAACCTGCTCGCAAAAAGTTGCATAATTTATATAACGAAAAATATATTATCGCCGCTTAAAGCAGCGATGCCACGTATCCCCTCGATGCTCCAGCTTCCCAGTTTGTCGACGATTTCGCGGCGCGGGGCAAGGGGCGGGCAAAAGAGATTCCCCTCGCTCCGTCAATTTCCTGGCAACAGTGGTCGCGAAATCTCGGGAATCATAATGGCACCGGAGGAGCAGATCGTACGAGTTCATGATTTGTATTTCAGGCGCGCGTCCTCGCGGCCGAAACTTTCCGAATCCACATTTCCAAGGTGTAACGACGATTCAGCGTTCAGGATGGAACGCTTCCGATGGCCGCGTTGTAAAATTTCCACGAAACGAATGAAGCGATTTGCATGCAGGATGCGACGTTTAATCGCGTCGACGAAACGATAAGAAGCTGCGAGACCCTTGAAACCGCGAAGCCGCGCGACGCTGTTCCGGACAGCGCTGGAATATCTGGAATACCCCGACGAATGCGATTATATTGCCCAACAAATTTCATTTTGCGTTCGTAGATCTCGACAAAGTTGTTCAAAATATACAGAGAAATAGATTATCTTTTTCAAGCCTTGCAAACTGATTTAAAATTCTGAGAACAATATCCCAAGGGAAGCTAATTTGCAGCTTCATTATCGCTTTTGTTCCGTCTGTACACCTTAAGTAATAACTCGGTAAATAGAGGGTGAAGTTTAGGCTCTTCAACCCTATATTACCCTTAAACGAAGCGAAGGGATCCGAACTTTTTTTAACTCTTTTAACTTTAGCTATTATTTATAAATGAAATCGTTCGAGTCAAATTAGCATGCAACGGCCTTATTCGTATCGATTGCAACGGTTACGGTGCCCCCGTAAAACCGTATCGTGCTTAATAATCCGACACTGAAATATTCGTCAAAAGTCAGTGCAGAGCAGCGCGGAGATATCGTTGCCGAAGGATTAAACGTGGATGATTTCGCGTAGAAACGTTGCAACGTATTCAGATTAATCCGACAGGATGGCGAAGGAAAATACGGTACAATCCGTGTCCAATGTAAATGTCCTCCGATCCGTGGGGGACAAATATTTGCCTTTTACAGTCTCGTGCGAGCCGGTGTAATTTTCGGAAAGCGATATTTGCCCATCAGACGACCGTGGATCCACGTTTGATCGTATTTCGAGATCGATGGCCGTTTGTCTCGCGCGAGGAGCGTGTTCTCCTTTTTCCAGTCGAGCCGACGCGACGCGCCGGACGGAAAATTCGCGAGCCCGGCACGCGCGTATCGATTACAAACCGGTATCCGAGTCGATTACGAGGGTAGATCGCTTCGTGCTTAATATTTTATTATCAATTACAAGTACGAAAACTTCGCTGTGTAAATATTAGGTAGCCTGCGGTGGGTTCGTGGGTTAACATTCGTCCGAAAGTCGACGAACTTCTCCGATCGGTCGGCCTTAATTAAATCCCCGCCCGTAATACAGTAATGTCTCCCTAACTGACGCCCAGTTGCGCACAAAAATGGACAATTTGGGAAGAGCCGATACGATTATTCGAGCTTTTTATAATTGTTGACAATTCGTAACTATAAAAACGAATCGCAAGGCTCGAATAATCGTATCTCCTTCTCCCCAAATTGTCTAGTTTCGTGGGTAATCCGAGCATCAGTTAGGAAGACGTTACTGTATCTCGGAATCCTGAACAAAATTGGCTGATCTCTCCCTTAGGGATTTCTATCTTTTTGACTGGAAGAAGATTCGGTATCAAGGAGGGAAAAGCTTGGATATCGTATACTTTTCGTTAGCGAAACTGGAGAAGATTAGAGGGCAAACAGGGAATCGCCGCGGTAATAAGGAGCGCTTCCGTCGATGTGCCGCCGGATTTTGTTGGATCGGCATCGACCATGTCTTGCAGAAAGAATCGAGAAATACGACGGGACACGACGGATCGGTAAAACTTCTTCGCGTGGAAAATTGTTGGAAACTCGGATAAATATAATCGCTAGACTCGTGTCATCTAATTTTGTTACAATATCATTCGTTAAATAATATTCAGCACTTATCATAATATTCATCTGTTCCTGTCGCAGACAAATTTATATTTTTCAATTTCATTAATCCTAAAGTTCCAGTCTCGGGAATTTTTTTATAGCTGTTCTCATTGGAACCGGTAACGCGAAAACTTTTCGCGCAGGTAATAAATTCCAATATAGCTCGTGAAACAGTTCCGAAACTTTCTCGGATACTGGTTAAAATCGACCCTTTATGTTTTCTCTATGCGTCCACCTACGCGGATAACCGTTAAACGTCGGATCACGCGACTCTCGACGTAAAGCGAATTCCTGTCGACGATAAGAACCGAGTAATTCGGATGACCTGTCTCGGGTGAATTTAAGTGGGCGGTTAAAATTAGCATTGTAAATTGAAGGGTTCACATTTTGAGGAATTGTAAAGCAAGTTTTTATCCGCAGAAAANCTCGAATAATCGTATCTCCTTCTCCCCAAATTGTCTAGTTTCGTGGGTAATCCGAGCATCAGTTAGGAAGACGTTACTGTATCTCGGAATCCTGAACAAAATTGGCTGATCTCTCCCTTAGGGATTTCTATCTTTTTGACTGGAAGAAGATTCGGTATCAAGGAGGGAAAAGCTTGGATATCGTATACTTTTCGTTAGCGAAACTGGAGAAGATTAGAGGGCAAACAGGGAATCGCCGCGGTAATAAGGAGCGCTTCCGTCGATGTGCCGCCGGATTTTGTTGGATCGGCATCGACCATGTCTTGCAGAAAGAATCGAGAAATACGACGGGACACGACGGATCGGTAAAACTTCTTCGCGTGGAAAATTGTTGGAAACTCGGATAAATATAATCGCTAGACTCGTGTCATCTAATTTTGTTACAATATCATTCGTTAAATAATATTCAGCACTTATCATAATATTCATCTGTTCCTGTCGCAGACAAATTTATATTTTTCAATTTCATTAATCCTAAAGTTCCAGTCTCGGGAATTTTTTTATAGCTGTTCTCATTGGAACCGGTAACGCGAAAACTTTTCGCGCAGGTAATAAATTCCAATATAGCTCGTGAAACAGTTCCGAAACTTTCTCGGATACTGGTTAAAATCGACCCTTTATGTTTTCTCTATGCGTCCACCTACGCGGATAACCGTTAAACGTCGGATCACGCGACTCTCGACGTAAAGCGAATTCCTGTCGACGATAAGAACCGAGTAATTCGGATGACCTGTCTCGGGTGAATTTAAGTGGGCGGTTAAAATTAGCATTGTAAATTGAAGGGTTCACATTTTGAGGAATTGTAAAGCAAGTTTTTATCCGCAGAAAATTGAATCGGAGTTTGCGTTTTCTAGGCATTTTCTGTAGTGTTTGGTCTTGTTCCAATAAGTTCAACGATTTGCTCATTGGATATAAAATTCGATCGAATTTGCACGACGGAAGCATCGCCCATCAAACATTATTCGCAACATCCGACAAGTGGCGTGAAATATCTGGTTTAACCGTGCAGACTAACGGGCAGTCGCAGTGCCATTTTTCACGGGGAATTCACGCGATAAGTCGGCATTCTATTCACTGTACCTAAATGGCGGCGTTACCTGTGCGTCGCGCTATGCCATAATTCGTCGCCGGTGCCGTTTCAGTCTCCTTGAATATTTTTTATTATCGCGTAAATCTCGTTGAGCTATCGCGGATAACGACCACCCCGTGTTGATGCCGTAATAACTTCGACGCGTCCCGCGTTCGCAGGAGTTTAACGGGTTCTTCCTTCTTCGACGCGACTCGAGACGGCCGTGAAAAAATGCAATTCGTTGTTATCGTCTCGCGAGTCGCCGTGAAAAGTACTTAAACAGCGAGCGTAATATGCGAGCAAGAAAGTGGTGGAATCGACGGCGACGGAAACGCAGAAAATTAGTCGGACGATCTCGCCTGATCCGAGTTAATTTGCTACTTGCACCGACGAATAAAAATTAGACGATATCTTCGCGGGACTGCGAAGTAGCTACCTTGCTGTCGCTAAACCGATTATGCGGTTTTTTTCTCAGATTTCAAGAATTTAGGTGCAGTGTCGAGAAATGTGTTTGAGATAACATTATTTCAAATATTCGATGTTATTCGAATTATTTCAAGCAAATTCCTATTAAAATAAAATCCCTTTCATCGTATCCAAGATAAAGAAATAGCGGAATAATTGTTTATTTGAAATTGCCATTATTTCAAACGGATCGATGTCACTTTTGCACTCGAACAACAATATCATCGTGACAAATATTTTCCCGTGAAATCGCCCAACCAAGGTTATTTTCTATAACAACCACGATGAAAAAGTTCTTTCGCGCATTCCGGCATCGTGTAACTTTAATAACAATTCGGACGGAAGAATTGCAACGACGTGGACCGATTCGATCGTTTCGATCGGCAACGACTTCTCCAGGCTTGTTCCATCGCGCTGCGTTATCGAGTGGGAGGAAAACGGTCCTTTCGCATTTTGTAATCGCGTAATATTAATAACAATTCGGACGGAAAAATTGTAACGGCGCCGAGTGATTCGATTATCTCGGTTACTAACGGTTTAATGGTTTTTCCAGGTCTGTTCCATCGCGTGGTATTATCAAGCGGTTCCGCGCTAAGCCCATGGGCCTCCGTTCACGATCCAAACGACCTGCGCTTAAAAGTAGCGGAGCAAATAGGATGTTCCACGGGAAACGACGAAGATATCGCCGACTGTCTGCGCGGTGTGCCACTCTACGATCTTATGGCGGTCGAACTCCCGGAAATCCGGTAAGATACTAACCGTTTACGATCTTATCCCGGGCTCTCCGCTTAACATCCATGGATACTCGGGCGTATTCGGCGTCATTTTCGCATAAACAAGTTCCATAAACCACGGGAAACTACATATGAGACAATGAAATTACCTCCGGGAGACATTTTCGCGGGAACGACGGAAAATTGCGAGCCCTCGGCGTCCCGTATTATTCAATCCGAACGTATTTCCGAACCGTCGCGCCGCTTTTCAATATCCGACGACGCGGATACGCTGCCAGCGGATGCTCGCGCCAAAGTAAAAGAAGATATCGCGGCCGCGGCCAGAATGAAATTCGATGGACGGGAATCGAAGCGACGAACATTCGAGTTAATTAACGAGCACGAGCGTCGTCGTTGTCGCAGCAGCGGCCGATCAATGGTCGCTTCCCGCGTGGCAATTAGTCGCGTCGAATCAGCGGAATACGATAGTTCCTCCCGGAAATGCCGAATTTCGGGTTGCTGTGAATTTCTCCGCGCCGGTCCTGCGCCCGTGTAATTTCTGACTGCGTCTGTTCGAGCGCGAGCCAAGTAAGAAACATCGCGGAGCTAAAGTAGGCGGCGAATTTTAGAAACAAAGCCGCCGCCTTTTTTCCAATTGCCCCGAGTTTCTATAAAAAGAGCCGCGAGGCTCGATCGACTTAATATTATTCTCGTATCTGCCGGTTTCGATTCCCCCCAGCATTTCCGGGAGAAATGACCGAAAAATTGCCTTTCATGATCCAGATTCGTGCCGCGAGTAGGACCCGGCCTGCCGGTGGACCAAAATAATCCAGACCCGGGCCTCGACATGGAGAGAGCCAGCGACACGTTCATCAAGGTGCCGTTGATATTGGGGGTCTCGTCGACGGAATCGAATCTCGACTTCAACGCCGAAGACATCCAGTACGGGTTCGAGGAGGATCATCGGAATCGCATCCTGAGAACGTTCATCAGGAACACGTACGTTTATCATCTGAACGAGATCTTCTCCGCGGTGAGGAACGAGTACACGGATTGGGACAAGCCTGTGCTCCATCCGATCAACCTCAGGGACTCGACCATGGAAGCTCTGAGCGACGGGCACACGGTGGCCCCGCTCATGAGGATCGCTTTCTATCATGCCAGAAGAGGGGCGAGGACCTATTTCTATCACTTCAGCCATCAGACCAAGGACACCGGCAAGCCACAGACCAAGGACAGCGGCAAGCTACAGAGCAGCGATAAGTCCGACGTACGATTCATTATTTCGATTTGATGAGTTTGCTTGCAGAGTTGCAACATTTTCCTGAACCGATAGCTCGATGGATGTTCTCTTCGGGAAAGCCGTGAAACTAGAAAGAAATCTAATTATCCTTTTATCGTTGCAAAAACCAGGAGAGCACGTTGCGTCGTCTAAATTTCGCCGAAGACGCGACTCTTTGCTTTTTATCGGACACTTTATTCGCCGACCTCTTCGCTTTGCTGTTTTAATATTTCGTCGTTCGTTATTTTTCGCATCGCATATCGTAGATGAAAAAGGAATTGCTTTTTCCATCGTTTTTCAAACACTCCAGGATCTCAGTCTTGTCGTCGACGGTAAGAACCACGCTTTTTCGTTCCCCGTCTGAATTATGAGAGGACGTAACGAACGATGAGCACACGAACGGCTCGCACGACTTCCAGGATAGCGACTAAAGTTGAATGTCGCGTCAACGAATTTCATATCATAGGAATTACGTAGCTATTGTTTGATCACGTGCGACGCGAAACGTGAGTTCGCATAAGCGGCACGACGCGGGACCCGAGTTCACATAATAGGGGCTCGGTAATACGTTCGGTAAATCGGCAATGTGACGTAATTGGTTCTAATAAGCTGCGTCGAGATAAATTTAGTTTAATTTAGACGGCTTGGAACGTAATGCGCGCGCGGTTGCATTACGACCCTGTTCGATCACTTTTGTTTGTTGAAAACGGCGCTTCTACGATCGATTAAAAAGTCTCCCCAATTGACCCTCGGCTTGTCCACTCTTTGCGCGCAATCCGTGCGCGAATTACGGCAAAATTCCTGTACTCTTTCTCTCGGTGTAGCCGTATGAAAAACGCGAGCCGCGCTTTCTCCCGACGAAAATAAAGTGAAACAAGAGACGCGAGACAGAGGAAAGACACTCGTCGTATCGGCTTAATCGAATCCGGAGAACGCAATCGTGCTCTCGCGCCGAAGATTGTCCGATGGTGCTCCAATCTCGGTGTTTCCTCGGCATCGATTCCTCCTCGCTCGTTCGTTTCGAGCTCTCGTTTCCTCCGCTTAACCGCTGCCCATGATTCCACGATGAAGCTACTGATTTAATCAGACGCCCCGAGAGCCTCGTGGACGACGCTCGCATTATCGCCGAGGTCTCTCCGTCGCCCGATGTAAATTAAGCGCGACGTTATCCCTCGAACTTGCTCGCCGCTGGAATCTCGGGGTGTTCGCGTTATTACGACGCTTTTCCGCGTCTGCCGTTGCCCGTGGAAACCGAATGCTGCTGGTTTTTGAACCGGGATCAGCCCCCGCGGTTATTCACCGCAGACTACCGTGCCAGATTGCCAAAATTTAATCAGATTCCTTGAATCCGGGTCACTGGAAAATAATGTAGAACCGCGTCGTCCGTGTCGGTAGCCCGCAAAGATGATTCAAGGGTAACGATTTCGCTGTGGTAAAAGCGGCACGTTTTTTCTTTTCGGAGCTTTTAGAACCGCTCGCTCGGTTTAACAAGGAATATTAAAATTTAATCGCGCGAAATTTCGGGGGCTCTTCCTCCTCGTTCAAATCGGCCAAAGAACAAAGCTTCGACCTTTTTAATCAGCTATTATCTCGTCAACTGCGCGCTGCTGTACTTAAAAAAAGATAACAATGCCCCGCTGGTTCGCGTCGTAAATCCAGATACGGAGACTGGATAATTCTAGAGAGCCGGCTGCGCTAATCTTCGGTTACTTCTCGGGAAATCCAGTTCATAATTAATCGGAGCATGCTCGTCGGGAATAGCAACATCTTGACAGGGAAAGTTAGGGTTTACTGCAGTAGTTCGAAATTGTCGCAGCTCCTGTTCTCTGGCAGTAAGCGGACACGTCGTAAACCTCCGAGTTTCCGAAGGGCCAACATGAATCACAGCATGGCCGAAAGTTAATAAGTTTCGCCCAGGGCCCACGGTTAATAGCGATTTACTGCGTTCGCCCGCCACGCGTGCCAGCTGTGTACACGCGAAGCGAAATTTAATTAAACCGAAAGCGTGTCGCGCGCGGAAAGGTGGCGCGTTTAATAAGTTCGGGTGTCGCTCCCGCAATCTTCGTAAATCCGCTCGTCCGTGCGATCAACGCGTTTCCGATGAATTTGTAGCTCTCGCGGAAAGAAAGGCTCTCGTTCGACCAGACAACCCTTTGACGCACAAGGACCAGTCGCGGTCGTCGTTCGTTTCCTGTGCACATTCTCGAGAGTATCGATAACAAAGTCCCATCCAAATTCCGTTTTATTCGTATGTCAAGAGGCTAAGTAGACGTTAATTCATTGCCCCGCGTGACAAACGGGTCTAAAATTATGCAGACGCGTCGATTAAAATTCATCGTTGCTCGCATGAAACAAAATTGTACTTGTTAATCGACGTTATTCGATACCGTCGCTAAGTGCGAATTAAACGTTTCGAAATTATTCATGAAGTCATTTAACACTGTGCGATGCTAAATTGTCCTGAATAATTAACGGTGCCTCTGCTCGATCGCACTTCGCGATCGCGCGCCCTCGGATAATAGCGACGCGATCGACAAAAATGCAGTGTTTATAGAATTTATATACAAGTATTTATTTAAAAATATGAAGCACGTTATAAAAAATAATGCACAGAAATTCACATGTTCTTCTATCTCGAAAAACGAAGTAATTCGGTAATTGTTCCAGCGTCTCGGAAGCATCCGCGGCGAAGACATCCCTTACATTTTTGGATTACCGTTGGTGGCCGGGGGAACTTTCTTCCCACGGAATTACTCCCGCCAAGACCAAGGCGTGGCCGAGGCGGTTATCACCTTCTTCACGAATTTCGCGAAAACCGGCAACCCGAACGAACCCCACAAAATTGAATCCGTGGACTATGGCACGCCGAAGGAGAAAACGCGGTACCGCGGTCTCACGTGGGAGCAATACGAAACTGGTACACAACAGTATCTAACCATCGGTGAGTCCCAGACTTAACTCTATATACTCCGATGGGATAGACTGGCCATTAACCACCTTGTTTCTCATTAGCCATGAAACCGAAAATGAAGAGTCACTACCGTGGCCATAAAATGGCGGTCTGGCTCAACCTGATCCCGCAACTTCACCGACCCGGCGACGACGACGTCTCCATGCGGCATCATCATTTCCGGGAGCGGGGCGACCACTTTTATGCGGGTAAATTGCAATCTTATATTTTAAATAAAATTATCGGCCGGATCATCCGCCTTCGATTTATCATACGAACAAGCTGTCTACTTGCGTCGATTATCGAGTGAAAAAAGTCTCGGTAAACGGGTCGAAAGATCAACCGTTTCTGAGACATAAACATACACATAATATATCGATTTTTCAATAAACATCGTTCAATTATCGCGACGACATCGGATCGTAAGATCGCAACGCCGCAATTCTCGCCAGATCGACGAAATGAATTTTTTAACTCGCTTTCAGGACCAGTCAGGGATGAATGGTACACTCCACTGCCTCTGGTAGGAACGACCAAGACCAGCGCGTCCTCGACAACGGCGTGTAGCACGCCGTCGAGCGAAGACGGAATCACGGAAGACATCACGCCGATCCTGGACGATTCGGAAGACGACGCTGAACTGTTGCAAAGATTGGCCTCCCGCCACTACTACAGCACCACCACTGCCCTAGCGATCACCGTAGGAGTTGGTTGCATTCTCCTGGTGCTGAACATGTTAATATTCGCCGGGATCTACTACCAAAGAGACAGGGACAAGAAGAGAGCAGCCATGGACTGCACGCCGAACGGCCAGGAATCCCTGCCGATGACCACGAGATCGTCGATGAAGGGACCGGACAGTCCCAGATCGACCCAAGAGCCGCCACCCTCTTACACGACTCTCGCCAGGAGTCCCTCGATTCAGGAGCACCAACAAGTCCTTCAAAGCCAGTCGCTGGACACGGACGAGCCGGTGAGAAACGAGTCGAAATCTGGCCACGGGACCAGCAACGCTGTTCACAAGGATCCGATACCGCCGAAGCCGCCGACAAGGACGACCAGTTCGCTGAGCACCAACACCGGCACCAACACGATCAAGAAACGCGTGCAGATACAGGAGATATCCGTATAGCATTAGGGGTTGCCCCACGAGGGCAACTCAAAGGCTAAGAAGGTAACTTTCGTCGATTTCGAGGCAATTAGCGAATCAAAGTTCTGAAACGACGACCAGGGTGCTTTCGAGTCGTCGTCGCGTCGAGCGGACGGATGGCTCGAAACCGGGACGGAACTATCGAAGAACGAGTGCACGAAATATCCGATGAGAAATCATTTCGCTGGAGAAAGCTGCTCGAACGAGCAAGAAGACTATAGTGCCGAAAGTGAATCGCCGTAGCAAAGCGAACGGACGTTGATCCGAGTCGTTCGGTAGCACGGAATACTACGATAGAACGCCGACTCTGCCGTTCGATCGAAGGATAAATATGTTCCTCCGTAACGCGAGAAACTGTCTAAGAGAATCTCCATCGTTCTCTGAAGCCACTGCCATTTTTTTCCACAGCCGTTCTCGAAGCGTGACTTCTTCGCCGAGATACTCGAGGGTCCTGTCGGTTGCGAGAACGTGTTAAATGTGAGCAAATTCGTCGTCGTCGGACTTCGTACTCTAATTAGGTGTCGACACACTACCTGGCTAGGCAGGAACTCCAAGGACCGAAGTATCGAAGCTCCTCCACTGTGAAACGATCAGTGTTCTTCAAGTGTTCTTCTCGTAGCTTGTATCCGGGATCGAGGGTGCTCGATCGACGGAGATACGGTATTAGTCCAATATCCTGAGGTACTCCTAAACTTCCAGTGACGCGCTAGACCCTGGGTCACCTCTGTGTGTCTCTTCTATCCCAATTAACTGAAAGTCGTGCACGAATTCGCACAGATAATCAATAAATAGGTAATGTTTATGCTACACGGTCCGTAGGGGGCGAGCATTGTAAAGAACGATTCGTTGCGCGAGAATCACTTCTAAAATTACATGGTAATGTCCTTGCGATCCGCGTCGTAGTGTCCTGCGAGTGCGACGATCTATACGCGACTTCTCGTACTCTGTATAATTGATCACCGATACCAAAGAAATTTTTCGTAACTCCGTGTAATGCGCGCGCGCAACGACACGCAAAACACGTATACGCGTACATACATGCATATATATAACGGCGCACACGACAAACAGACAGGTGAATACACATACACACACACACACACACACACACACACACACACACACGAGTTAACACACCAGTATCGAAGATAATTGAACAATGATAATGTATAGAATGTTATCGTATGTTAAATTAATACACGTTCTTTACGTCTGATATTTTTATACTTCGTATGATTTGTTTCGCGTAACGATCACCGAGGATATTGAATTGTATTTGTTGTCGCAGGAAATATTGTACACGTTACCATTACTCGGCCTGTATAGTCATCGTCATAAACTCCATCAAGCTCTCATAATAATATCGTCATCGTGATATCATCGTTCACCGATAAAAGCTCGTGTGCGTATATAGGACAGTTTACACGAGTGTTCTGTGCAAGCTCAAAAGGAGATCGAGGCCACTGGGAACTAATATATGCGCGAGTGTTGATCGAGTTGAAAAGTCCGAAAGAGTCTGTTTCAAAGAGGAAAGAAAGAGTTTTCTGGTCGCAACGTGTGCTCAAAATGTGATCGCTAAACGGGAGACAATTTCGTTCGGATCGATGATTTCCCCTTCGACCAAGTAATCTAAGGACACGGATTACCGCGCCACACGCTTAAACGATCCACGTGTTCCGGTAGAGGTAGGACGAGCGATTTTTAAGACAACCGACCGAGAGACGGGATCCGCGCTGACGTAAATCTGTTCTACGATCGACCTTCCTTTCTCACGTCTTAACTTCTTCGTTACGCGAACGCACCGGTTCGAATTACCTAACGGGACGGAGATCGTCCCGTCTCGGCGCTATTGAAATTCGCATGAAATTATTTAATCGAATTGATCGTTCGAACGAATGAAATTATTAAGGGAGCATGAATTCACTAATCGACTGTATTCGTTCACCGAGCCACACGGAACTAACGAAAGCGTATCGGTACCATTAAGAACGTAAAGTTTTACTTAGGTAGCATAATGTGCACGGTGTCGCGTAATTGTACCGTCGATTTCGATCATTTTCAACCGCATCGTCGCGCGAATAAGGCAGACGAAGAGTAACGACAGCTGCCGACTATTGTCCGCGAATGGTTTAAATCGCTAACACGTTGTGACTGTTCGTTGATTGTGTGAACGGGGTATCAAGCACGGAACAGTGAAATTTCAATAGTAGATTAGATTAACCACCTTTGTAAATTTCACTGTACAACAATAAAATGCTGATTTCTAAATATACTACAACCTCTCTTCTTACAGTTACCCTAATTATCTAGTAACGATGCTGCGATCGATGCGACATTGAAACGATGAACGACCTACGACGAACGCTGAGTGACAGTTTTTTTTTTTATGAACGGGAATTGATAAAACGAGTAATTTTTATTCTAAACTTTGGCAGTTTAATTCCTCTTTTTAATACCTAGTTAATCTTTGAACAACTTTAAGCAGTAAATAGATTAATGTTTCGCATCGTCGATGACAATGGGTAAAATATTACAAACGATCAAAATAAATTGAAGTTTTAGGAACTGGATACGGCATTGAACCATTCAGTCTATTCGATTGACCGAAGTGCAATTATTGCGGTCAATATATATATAGTGTATATCTATGTATATCTATAGTGTAATATCACTGCTCGATGAAAGTAGAAAAAAATCACTCTTAATCAAACACTTAAGTTAATCAAATTACTCCCAGATGAGCGATAAATAAATAATATGAAAAATAATAATATTATCATAATAATAATATTTTGTCAAATATGCATTTCCTTCTCGGAAAGATTAAGTCGTAAATGGAGAATCTTCAATTGAAATATTATGATAATATTGTAAACGCGATAAACTGTAATAAGTACTTAAGGATCGTCGAACTGGCCTTCCGCGTAATTCGTTTGCCACACTAGAGTTCCTTCCTGTAACATTTTTAAAATTTTCAATTTCACTCGCTTTGGGTGACGATCCGCGGGACAGTAGATCCGTTGGAATGGACGGTAAAATGTAAATGGCGGGTAGGTACGAATCTTTGGTTCTCTTCCTTCTGAAAACAAAATGCGCCCATGTTTGTTCTTTATTTCGTTTATCGTAAATCTGCCGATTTTATGCATTTGCATATGCATATGCAATTCCCAAACTGTCCATTTTTGTGTACAATCTGAGCATCGATTAGGGAGAATTTACTGTATTCTCTTCGAGTTTTTAGCAGCTACGGTAGAACTCCATTATCCGAATTCGATTTACTGG